TATCGAATCTGTTCAGGATAACTTCAATGAAGAACAACGTTCTACTACTACTCTTCATTTTGATACTTCTTCATCTTTTGCTTAGCAAAACTCATCATCTGTCGATAGGACCTCTAGTTCGAACTTTAGGGTAGTCTCTATTTTATAAACGATAGGTCAGATAGTGCACTACAATGTCATCTCAAAGCATTAGATTTATACCGCCGAACATTGTCATCTGATCACATCAATATTGCAGATAGTTTCAGAAATATAAGATTAAATTACTGGTATATGAAGAATTTAACAGAAGCACTTCGCTTTTTGAATGAAAGTCTCTCAATCTATCGAGCTAGTTGTGGACCAGAAAGTGAAGAAATGAAGTTAGTCGAAGCGGATATTGCCAAATTGAATGCAGAACAGAAGACTGTTGCTCGTATCGAATCTGTTCAGGATAACTTCAATGAAGAACAACGTTCTACTACTACTCTTCATTTTGATACTTCTTCATCTTTTGCTTAGCAAAACTCATCATCTGTCGATAGGACCTCTAGTTCGAACTTTACTCATAGTGACACTATAAGCAAAGTCAGAACTCCTACCAAGCGTACAACATGTGAGATCCAGTAGCATTCAAGTGGGTTTTGTTTTTATTTTATAATAGTAATAAAAGACATACCCTGAAAAGTAAATAATAGATACAAAAATCAAGTTAGAGATTTCATTTTAAAGTTTGCACTCATGAACACTTTTTATTGGACTGAATCGTGAAAGTGAGAATGAGAGACAGAGACTGAAACGAACCAGGTTTTATTGATTCGAGTTCAGTTCGGTTTGATTCGTTTTATTTTCGGTGTCTGATTCGAAGTATAATTTAACTGAGAGATAGGCTGTGACAATGACAATCGAATTAGTAAATAAAAAATTGCTTTCATATTATGCCGATATGTAGAAGATTACTAGAGTAGCGTAAGTTTGAAAGGCTTTCTATTTCTGCTTGGATTTGATCAAGACAGGAACTTTTTAGTAAAATCATCCTGCATAAGTTCAGTTTTTGAAAAAAAATAGATATTCAGAAATTTCGATCTGAAATTTTGTACACATGAAGATCTTGATTAGACTATCTCATATGGAAAGCTTCATCAGTTTTGGATATCGTATTACTAGAATATGAATTTCTCAATATATTACACGCCAATCGTCGTAGCGTAGCTAAAAATAAAATAATCTAATAATCTATACTCAATATAGTGTGGTCAAAAAAAAACACAACGGCACGATTTATGGTTTTCATCTTTCAGTGAATAGGAGTAAAAAAACAATGGTAAAATCATAATTTTTTCAACATTTTTATTTTTTTTAATCAGTTCAAAAGTGCGGTTCAAGACCATTAATATTCAGTATTATTGAGAGTTGTTAATGTGTATGCATTTAATTGTTCGTTTACCGAGAACTGTTAATAATGTGGGATTGGTGATGTCTTTGTTCCATTAGTAGTGGTCGCTTTTCTAATAACAATTAGATTAACCGTACTATGAATGAACGAGAGAATAAACATGACAAGAAGAACCACTTTCAACGTATAAGCCAACTCAGTGTCGCATTTTGTATCGTATATTATTGAACTGCAACGTTTAGATAGAGCTAAGTTAATAATCGAAGCAATCGAAATGCACAATGACACTATGAGAGTGGTCAAATAGGTCCATAGAAGATAAATGATTGCATATGCTGGTTGACATGCAACAATTAACGTACTGATGCCTGAAGATATGAGAACACCACTTGTACCAAAGCCAAGATACCACGTCCAATAAGAATAGAAGATGAGACTAATGTCCAGACCAATAATTACGATGACAAATAAGAAAAAAAGTAGACCTGAGCAAAGAAAAAATACTCTGAGGGCAGGCGTTATAATAGTCAATTTCCTATTATCCGAAGAAGGTGACTGAGTCAGCTGGAGTTGACCAGATGACGAATATCCATTATGAAGTGTTGATGATGGTATCGATGCCCTATTCATAGACATTCAATGTTATTCTGAATTTGTCGATGCTTTAATATATTCTTTTTCAAAGAAAGATTCACCTAGAAAAGATTCACTTACGGATGAACATTGTCGGATCCTATGTGCGATTGAGAAGACTTTGGATATTTATCATTCGACATTCTTACTTGTATTTGACTAACGTGTTTGTGCTCCAAGCGACGGTTAGTTATCGTTTTTTACTTCTACTTCATAAATCTGCACCAACGTGTTCTATATATTCCTTTCTTTCTGTTATTTGCCTAAGTCGTCATATCAGTAAATGACATTCTTACTGACTCATGTTCTTCATATTGAAGATAAAATTTGATAAAGAAACTTTCTCCACTTTGTAATATTCTGCAGATTGTATACCTACCTCATCGCCAAAATGAACATTATCGAAAAGCAAATCGTCAAATATCTTTCCATCGTCTATGTTTGAGAGTTTTGTTTTAGAGATCTAGTGTACTGCAGATATCATCTCAGGATATAATCCGTAGACTGAGTCACTTGAATAAATATCGTCGAAAACACACGTTACCGATAGCCACATCCCCAAAATGATACTTCGTCGAAAAGCATATTCAGATAGTAGATAAATTATCTTTTTTTTTATTTTAACAGTTTTGAAGTTACGTAGTTATTCTACACTATAGGATGTGACATTAGCTCAATAGCCAGTATCATATTAGTTATACATCATGCATTAAATATTATTTTCTTTTTCTTGTTGTTAATCGAATCATTTTCATGAATCTACTTTCAAGAATTGTATATGGTTTTATTTCTTCTCTAAAGTCAAAATTGAATCTTTTTATTAAATTAAAATTTTCTTGACACTGAAAGATTGAACAGATGAAAGTTACCCATAGTCATTTGTATGAATTATTTCTACTCATTGACGAACGACTGTTGTTGAAGACAAGCACGGAATAGTTGCCATCAAAAGGAAAAACTATATATACATATCTTAAACAGATAAAGAACAAAAGATTGTTTTTTTTTTGTAACATATAACCATGTTGCATAAAGAACAAATAAAGAAAAGTTAGTGAAATCATAATCAAGCGATAACACTAGGTAATTTTTCATAACTAACAAACGAATTAAGAAATTTTTCTTCTTCACCACGTAATAATAAAATTTCATCTTCAAATTTTGCTCCATGACGTTCACGTATTAAAGGTGTACGACGAAAACCTTTTAAACTATGACATTGTGTACAATTTTCTGCTGGATATTGTGACCAAGTAAAAACACGTTTATGACATTCGATACATTCAAAAAATTTTTGTTTTACTTCACATATTTTAACATAATGTTGTTTTTGTTTACATAATATTGATTGTTTATATGCTGTATAATGACATTGTCGACAAACAACAACTTTTATATCACGTTCCATTATTTGAAGAAGTTTTTCTTCGATATTTTCTTTTTTTTTATAACGTTCAAATATTTCATCAAGTGTCATTTGACTATATAAATCAGAATGAGATGATTTCATATTCATTATATCAACAAAACGTTGTTGTTCAACTGAATCAGAATTACTATTTGATATTTTAAGACGTTTTGATACAAGATTTGAATCGAATTCAGTATTTGATCGTTTTGGAGAAGAAGAAGTAGAAGAAGACGATGTATCAGCAGATATTAATGATTGACCTTTAACTGGTGTAATCTGTTTATGAGCAAGACGTTGTTTAAGTATATCAATTGCACGTTGTTTAGCATTATTAATTGCTTCAGAACTAGCTGACTTTGTTAAATCAACAAATTGTTTAGGTGATGATACTAAAAAAGAAATTGAAATTTAACCGCTTTTGAATCGAGTTTATGCGTATTGTATAGATCCAAATACACTATGAATATTCTAGAAAGAGTTCGCATCCTGAACCTATCACTGCGGAGATTCTGCCCTTGTACAGTATTGTTTTTTAAAAATGCTGAGATAATAGAAAAAGTGATTTTCGAATTTTGATTTGAAGCTTTGCATAGAGACAAATCTTAAGAAGAAGAAATTTTTGTGAATGTTTCAAGTCGAATCAGTGGGTGCTATTAATTCGCAATAGATAAATGTATTTTTCTTTCACTTAATATTCCTTACAAGTCTATTCTATCAATCAATCAAGAAAAATATAAAGAATTTCTACAGTAGTATGTCGATCACTATTTAGAACTCAATCGTATTCGAACTATTAGTTCCAATTTCAGATTCGGTGCATGCTTACTTCCAAAAAGAAAGATCAAAAAAATCATAATTCAGAATAGAACTCTATGAAATATTAAGCTCGTAGAAGAAAATCATTCGCATAACGAACAGTGTTGGTTGATACTAATGAACATAATACAGTATTGTTGAATTACCATGTTCGGTTTTTTTTTAGAGAACTTTATTGGTTATCCAAATCACTATTTGGATTTTATTAATAAGGATGATAAATAATTATTTAAAATCATCTTTTCGAAATGACTTACTCTTATTAATAGCAGATGTCGAACTTGTTTGACTAATTGTTAAACTTATTGGTGATTTTTTTAATTCTTGTGAAGGTGATGTTGATGCAACCAATGGATACGATCGAATTGGAGTTTTTGTATCATCTTGATCTCGATTTTTTGTTTCTTTTTGTATCATTTTCTTAACTTTATTAGCTGCTTGTTTAGCCTGATACAATTCACGAATATCAGCCATTGAATCAGCTAAACCTAAATTAAAACAAAAAAAAATATTCAAAATTAATATATATATATATATATGAATCTAATAAAATTTCAACTAACCTTTAGTTTCTTGAGTTCGTACACATACTAATGGATCATCTTCAATACCTAACATAACAAGCATGGATTTTTCTTTATTATTAAGACTATTTCCAGTTGTTTTCAATGAATCATTCGATTTTTTTAATGATTTTGATTTAGATGAATTTGTTGACCATGATGATGAACCATCACCACCACCACCATCATAACTACCAGCAAGATTAGCAAATTTTTTTGGTACAAATGAACCTGTACTTTGTAAATTCATTCGTGACATATTACCAACATTAAATTTATTTGTATTTCGTTGATTATTTTTATGTATTTGATGAGCATGTGTAACACAATATTCACATTCATGTCGATTAATTAATATTTTACATTGTTCACCAGATTTTGTTTTCGATTTACATTGACCTAAATCAGGATTTGAACCAAGAATACAAATATTTCGTTCATATTTTATTGATAATTGTCCTGATTTTTTTGTATCACCATCATAAATAAGTAAAACACTTGATAATGTTGTTTTCCATAATGATTGATGTGCATCACCAAATAAAAACATATTTATTGTTATTTTAAAATCTGTTATACGCCATATACTATATGTTGAACCATTACTTGCTTGTTTAACATCAGATTTATGAGCTAATACAGCCATTGTACACCATTCTGTTGGCATTGGTGATGGTTGTTTATCAATTTCATATAAACGAATAAATTTTATTGAATTTAATTTTGTTTTTATTGCATTTGGTGTATAATTAAGTGTACCTATACGAATATGTGTTGTTGGATCAATATAAACTGATGGTGTAATTATTGATTGTGTTTTTGATCCAGTTGTTAAAGTTGTTATTGTAGAAGATTGTTGTTTATTTAATTTTTGTTGCAATGAACTAAAAAATTTTAAAATATTTTGTTTTTTCGACAATATTACATTTGTAAACTAATAGATGTGGTAAGTGTTAGAGATTTTACGTTCAATTCTCTAAGATAATATAAGAAATATAATGTTTGTCTTGAAACTGCAGTTCTTTTTTTTTTTGTATCATACAATTCTTATTATTTGAGAAGATTCAAGCATAAGTGCCTAGCTTCGATCGAGTTACGATATTTCGTAAATGAATACCATAGTAACAGAAAAATTAATTTTCGAAGTTTGACTTGAAACTTTGCATAAGGACAGGTCTTAACGAGAGTAGTTTCAAGTCTTTTGATTTACTTCTATTCTGAAATAAGAACGTTAAGTCTACCGATGTATATGAGCGATGTAAAAGACATGATATTACCATAGTTGTATCTTAAGATAGAAACAACAACAAGATCGAAAAGATTCAGAGAATAAAACTATTCTCAAGTCAAAATTGGAAAATCAGTGTTTATTTCCTGATGTTCCTAAGCTGAAGCATAGTATTTGTTCAAAAAACTACAGAAAAAAAAATACATTATCACCACAGCGATAAGATAAAGGCATGAATTCTTCTCAGAGTATTCATACCTCATTTAAGTCTAACAAGATTTATCAAGTACGATACAATTCAGATTTCGTGACTCAAGTTAAAACGATAACAGGTCGATTTTCGTTTATATTTCTTATCATTAGTGATATACAAATTTCTATTCTAAATTTTGAAATTAAATTCTTAATATTTATATAAGCAAGTCATGCAAGTTGCATGTAGATTATTATAGTAACTTTTCTCATACTTTGATGTTTTACTTTCAAATAATTCTCCCATATCAATATTAGAAAATTTGCATGTAGGACTTTTTTCAGTTGTAATTGGTTTATCAACAAGTAAACATGTTAATTCAACTAATTGTTCCGGTGTCGTTGTTTCTGCTTGTTCAGAAAACGATAATTTTGATGTTGATTCTTCATGTTTCTTTTCTTCTTCTTCTTGTTCATCTTCAGCAAGTATTGCTGCCAATTCATCATCATCGATTTCATTTTCCATTTGAAAACGTACAAGTATTTATCTCAATTATAATAATACATGAACAAATATGAAAATTATTTCGTTCGTACGAAAGTCGATACTATGAAACAACCAATAAAAGAAAAAAAATCATTTAATGACATCTATTGTAATCATTAGTTTAAATTTTAGGACTCCACATTACTACAAAATATCCATCCATTTATTGATGCATTGAAATTTGTTTTTTTTTTGTTTTTCATTTGAAATCAAAGATCAAATCAGTAAGTCTAATATGGATTATATTAATCGAAGATTGGAGTAGACTCTATTATGTAAATTAAATAAAGTCTTAGTATTTTCTTCGAAAATTATTATGAAGATATTCCAAATCGAAGGTTATCTTCGATTATTTATAATATTTTCTCTATCAATAGATCTATTTATGAAAGATATACACAGACTAATTTTTATAATTCTTGTTCGAAACTCTTCGGAGAAATGACTTGAATAACTGTGTGAATAAATGTATCTCTCATTGATCTCGATAGGAACATGTATCATATATTAACTGAATAGTTAATTCATTTTTTGTTTTATAGAATCATTGATTTTAAATGAAGTAAAAAAACATAAGTCAATGCATTAAACGATACTGATGAGTAAATTTATTATAGTTTTTCCTGCTGGCAACAGCTGGAAATGTTTAACATTTTTGTTTTAGCTTTCGGCAATAGCTCAAGTGATTGATTTACATCTCTGATTAGAAGCAAAAACAAAACAATTGACTTGTGTATGAAGTCTGGCACTAGGTGAAATAATGATTACATTAAGACAATCTTTCCAGTTTAACTGAAACGAAAATTGTTAATATCTTTAGATGATATACATGTTGTATTCTTTATTTTAGTATTGATGTATTGAAATTTCAGTAATGTTATTTTATAATCTGTAATATTACAATAATTGATTATTCATAAAAATAGTTACAATTCAATGTCTATATAGCATCGATTTTTTTGTTGTTTTGAATATTTGAATCATAAATAGTAATGTTAATATATTGTATCTCATTTTTTGTGTAACCATGAACTTGTTAATAGACGACTTTATGTTTTATTTATTTCTAAACTTATTGATATAAGTTTGCTTTTTTTTTTACGAAATATAGATTTTGATTTTCAAAATGGTTCATTATAATTAGTTTTATGTTGTTTTTTATTTTCTAATCATAGGGAAAAAAAAAGCTAAAATAATTTTTTTGTTAAACATAAATATTCACTTAAAAACAAAACTGTTTCGTTTTCCAAATTCATTCTATACTTATCGATTTGTAAAAATACAAAAAGACACCATTTGTTAGGTACCAATAACATAATTACAACTATTTAGTCTTTCAAAACCATTATCATCAGTTTCTGTTAACATTTTTTTTAATTTGTCTTCACGTAATTTACGTGCATATTCAGCATTCATTTTTGCTATTGAATCTAATATTAATTTACCTCCAGCTAGAAATAAAAATAAAACTATTAATACTTGTACAAGATCATCAAGATGTGTAACTTTATTAATAAATATAACACGATCCCAAACTAAAAGTGGCAAAACCATAATAATACCAATTATAGAATTTATTGCATCAAATTTTAATGCTGTTGATTTGAGTTTTTTACTAATAATTATTTTTATTATTGATAATATTGTAAATACAATAATATGTATTAAAGAATATATAACAACAGTCATATCGGGTCGTACTGCAGGTGCTGACATCATACTTTGTATAGCTCGTGTTTCAATAGCAAGAAATGATCCAATAAATAATGCACCAATAACACAACAAGCAAGTGTATCACGACGATGAACATCAGTAATTGATGTTGCTGTCAAATGCCATGATACAAAACATGCACATAATGAATCCATTAATGCATGAAGAGAAAATGAAAAACCAACAAAAGATTTTGTACGCATACAATTAATGAATGCTGTTAAACCAAGTGCAACATTAAATATAAATGAAATAATACATGACCAAACAGCTATACGACGAAAACGATGAAATTGACCATAATTAATTGAAGCAGAATTTAAATTATTATCAGTTTGTACACTAAATTCTAGTGAATTTTGCATTATAATAGCTTATTTTTTCAATTAAATAAATCCATATGAATATGAGTCAAAAAAATTTCTTTTTATCACTACTATTATTTTTCTATACTACATATGCATATGTATGCGGATGAATACCTTTTTTTTGTTCTATCGTAAAAAATAATAAATCAAACCATTGAACCGAAACTATGGTCACACATGTGTGTACATTTTTTTCCCAATATACAGAACAGACACGAAAAAAAAACCGAATAGACAACATTACATTAATATATAACGAAAGAAAAAGAAAAAAGATTTATAGTTGTTTGGCAAGTAATTGACATCGATCGTGTTCTCCAACAAGACTAGCTAAACGTACATTATCATATTTAATATAAACAATTTCATTATATTGTTGAAAACCTTGTTTACGAAATGCTTTAGCTGAATAAAGACTTGTAGCTTCAGAAAAAGCTCCTTTTATATTAAATTGATTTTTAGCTCGTTCTAAACTTGCATGAATTAATTTTTCTGTTAATCTTAAACCACGATAATGTGCATCAATAGCTAGAATAACCATATGTAATAAACGATCTGTATTCATTTCTTCAAATAAATCAATATTATCATGAACATGTTGTAGTACACTTAATATAAAACGTAATTTTTCTGATTGAAAATTTTTTATATCAAAATTATCTTGATTATTAACAATTGTTGTTAATGGTGAACGATGTTTTATTATATTTAAAATAACTCCGATAACATTTTGTGTTTGAATATCAATAGCAACAAATGAACATTGATCTTCTAAAGCTACTGATATAACAAGTTCAGCAAATTCGACTGGTTCATTTGGAAGATCAAATGCAAGACATTTATTTAATGGTTCATCACGAAAAAAAATTTCAGTAACAAGTTCAAATACTTTTTCACGATGCTCATTATTCATTACACGTAAATCTATTTGTGGTGATTCCAACCATGTTGTAGATAGAGGTGGTGTTGATGGACATGATGATGTTGGAGATTCGCAATTTGACGAAATAGAATCACACATATCATTTAGACGTTTTCGTAATAGAGATGATTGCATTTTAAAGTATTTAATAGTTTATAGACAAATAATAATTGCTCAAAAAAAAAAATGATGTGTTCTATTATGTTTTATTAAAGAGCAAAATGAGCTATGGGAAATAAATGGAAGCATCTCGAGTTTATTATTTTTCTCAGCAGACAACATAGAACGATAGAATAGAAAGAAAAGAATGGCATCTAATCTTCTTCAATTTGCCATCTATGAAGACAGATAGAATAGGAAGATATAACTCTTAGGCTACATCCTTTATTGCATTTGACGTTGTCTTTCTTTTTTGTTTTTCTTCTTTGTTTTTCCATTTTACTTTTTCACCGCAATAAAACCATCATTTCTTTCCTTTCCTTCTCGAAACCTTAATTACATTCACATATTGATCATGAATAAAATAAGTGTGTTTGCATGTATACATTCATCATAAACTGCATTAAAGCAATGAATAAATAAATATTACTCAAGGGGAAGAATAGTGACATAACTAATCAATCGAAAATTATTGACAAAAAAAAAGCAAGAAAAAGAAAACAAAATAGTTTTTCTCCGCGAGAGAGAGATTTTCTCGACTTATTAATTAAAATCTCTTTTAATAGAAAAAAATACGTATGAAAAAAAAAAGAAGAAAACATGAATTAACACAAACGGAGACAAAGCAAATAATCGATAGGGATAAAGGTAGTTTTTTCTTTTCTTGCAAATCTATGTATATAGAACAAATTATTTTCCTTTAGAATAAAAAAAAACAGAAAAAAAAGATATAGACCAACTATAGAGAGAGAGAGAGAGAGAAAGAGAGGATGACCAAACATATAGATGTAGAAACGAGAACAATGCTGATTCATTTATTTGTTTTCTCTAACTCATTTCACACATCATAGCACCTTGACTAATAAAAAAAGAGAAAAAAAAAAGAGAGACGAGTAGTTTGAGCATGCGTGCACACACAAGAGTATAACAAAACTACTCAATGAGAGAGAGAGAGAGAGAGAGAGAGAAGAGAAAGAAAATATAATAAAAAAAAAAGAATGAAATTCTCTAGCATATATGCATATAAATAAAAAAAAGAAAAGGAGAACTTTTATAATTCTTGTTCGATGCAATATTTGTTTGATGCGTTGTATTTTTTTTTGCTTAAACGACTTCAATATGCCAAGGAGAGCCTGGAATATGTTGATCGCCCCATTTAACAACCAACATATATTCACCTTTTTCTCGTACAGTCTAAAAATTAAAAGAGAAAAAATACAATGTATGTTTGTTTTTTTTTGTTGTTTCGAAATATCAAATAAAAATATGTATTTACATATTGAACATTGTATTGATTATTTCCAATATGTTTAATAAATACTTCTTCACATGGATATTTCGGACCGAATACACCTACCATTAACATAGCATTTCCTTTAAAATAGATAAATAATTCAATAGAAAGTTATTTAATAAATATCTAATTAAATCTTACCACCGTCACGCGTATCTACTGTAAATGTAGCTTTTTCATTACGATAAGCACGTAATAAACCATCTCCATGTGCTCGTACTCGACTTGCATCTACACTTACATAGTTATTTCGTGAGCTTGCTACATATGATGATGATTGTTCAACTGTATCATATTTTGCATGACTTGCTAAATTTCCTTGTGAACGTTGAACATATGATGATGATGTACTCATTGTACCTAAGCCACCACGATTAGCATTTAAATTTGCACCTAAACATAAGTAGTTACTCAAAATCTTGTTTGTTTTTGTTTTATCTGATAGTTATTATCCTTTTAGAAAATATTTCAACTTTATCGATTTATTGGACATTTTTTTAGGATCTGGATCCGATGAACTCTGCTGATATTCAACTATATACTTAGACAAATCTACTATTCGTATATTAATAAGAATATATATTGTGTCCAATAGGTTTTGTTTGTTTTTGTTTTAACTAAATCGTTTTTATTAATAGACCATATTAGGAATAATTACCTCCGACCAAACACTTAAATGGACTGCCAGCAATATTAATTCCGGCAAATTTAATCGTAATGAGATAATCGCCGGGTGCTGTTGGTGTAAAGCTAACACGATAACCTAATCATATAGAATAATTTTTCTAGAATATAATTATATCATAAACAAAACCAGTTACCTTCAGATACTTCTCTACAATCAAGTTGAACTTTTGATGGTCCATCAACAGTAACTGCTAATGCACCAGCACCAGCATTCATTGTATCAATTAAAAATTCACATGGAATACCTTTAATAATCGATATAGAATTAAAAAATAATTCTTGTTTGTTTTTTTTTTTTCGTTTTATATTTACCTGTTTCTCCTGTATATAAACCAGAACCTGATGCAAATACTCTTCCTGGATCAGCATTAGCATGACCAACAACAACACGAAATGGTGAATCAGGTATATCCCGTCCATTAAAACGAACATGTACCCAATGAACACCATTTTCTCGTGGTACAAATCGAATAGCATAATGTTCTAAAAAAGAAAAAGACATTCTTGTTTTTTATATTAAATTAAATAGAAAAGAAAATTTACCATCGCCCATTTCTTGTACAATACAAGTATCTTCTGCACCACTAGGTGCTGTTACACGGGCATCAAGACGACCACGTGCACCATTTACATTAACAGTAAACATACATGGTCGATTAACTTCATGTCCTTTAGCTTGAAGACTATGAACTGTTAATTTTTTAGCATCACCAAATGGTGAACCAATTAAAACGTTAAATGGTGAATCTGGTATATGTTCATCATTGAATTTAATTGATACTTGATATTCACCCGGTTCAGGACATACATATGATACACCACATGAACCATCTTTACGATCAAAAAAGTCTATTTCAGCTTTAGCTGGTCCTTCTATTGCAATAGCAAGACCACCAGCACCTGCTTCACGTGTATAAATATTAAATTCATCTTAAAAAAAATAAATTTTTCATGTTAACAAAGAAAAAAATAAAATAAAACATTTTATTTCGTTTTTAACTTACTAGTCATATTAATTTCTCCACGTGCAAGACCATTTCCACTAGCACGAACTTTATGAGCACCACCGCCTTGTATAGGACCAACAGTAAATTCTATATGATATCAAGAATATATAGTTATTTTTGTATAATAGAAAGAAAATAACAAATTAAATTTTATTTACCAAAAGGACTGCCTGGGATATGCATATCCTTATGTTTAACACTAACTGTATGAACACCCATTTCTTTCGGGATAAATTTGATTGAATAATTGCAATCATCGAGATCACTATATAGAAAAATAAACAAAATCGAATATTCAAAACTTTTTCTTTTTCTTTTTTGTTTTTTAATAACAGATTCTTCTTGTACTTACACAATCTCGCAATTTTCTAAATGTCCTGATGGGCTTGTAACATAAGCGCTCATATCAAATGGTGAAGTGCCTAAATAGAAATAATAATGAAAACATAAATATACAAATTAGAATATTTTTGAAAAGAAAAGTTCTATTCTTTCTCGTATTTAAATAAAAATAAAACCTGGTAGTGTTTGAAATTTAAATCCATGAAAATAGGGTACATTATGAAAATGTTGTGATCCAGTTTGATCTTGTCGAGTTGCACTACTCATTTTTGAATATGAAGAAGATGCATTCATTTTTTGTTTCATTGCCATACTATCACTTAATATAGCATTACGATCATGCACAGATGATGAACTTGAATTAAGACGATTTGCCAATGAAAAATTTCTATCAGAATCAATATTGCTTGGATAAAATGTTGGTGATGATGATGATAATGGTTGTCCCCATGCTTGAGATTGTTCTTCATGTTCACGATGAACTACTGGTTTTTCATTATTCACTTGTGACATTGAATAAGATTGATAGGATGAACGACGTTCACCACTACTTGCACTTGCTGGAAGGTTACCACTAAGATACATTCTTATTGTTTTTGTGGATATCTTTTGTTATACAACTGCTTGGTGCTTGATGTTTGGTGGTAGCTTTCTTTCTATGTGGTATGCTTATATGTATATGTATATGTAGGCCTCTCGGTTTTTTTCTGTTACTATAATAACACCAGCAGTTGTCTTAACATCGACACCGAAATAAACATAGATTTATTCTAATCATGGATGGAACGCACGACAGTTGATGATACGACGTAGCGAGTTCTTTCTCTTTTTTTTTTTGTCCTATATTTGTCGCCGTTATCGTACTCCTCCTACGTTTCTTTTCTGTTGATGTCGAGTGAGAAAACCTCATCTATCAGAAAGAAACTAGCATCATCAGAGATAATATTGTTAAGAATGTCGTTGGAGAAACTACTGATAATAAATGTTTGAGACATTTATAGACAGACAAACAGATAAATCCTTTCAGGCATTTCTTTTCCTTTCTTTCCTCCTACATACATTGTTTATAGACCAAATAGGAAACGGACAAAAAAACAAATAAAAAAAATGAGGTAGAGCAGTACGTACCAGGAATCTTCAATGATAATTCACATTGGCTACCAATATGTGTTATATCAACAGCACGGCGTTCACGTGTAATACTTTCTTTAAGTCGACCAGATCCTTGGCCACCAACATTGACCGTAAATGGGCTGCCTATAAGATAAGAAAAACAAGAAAGATTAATTATAGACCAAAAAAACCAAGGTTTATTAGGTCTCAAACTGATATCATCAAAGAGTATAATTAGATTGTTAACTAAGTCTCAGGGAGCTTTCTAATAGATGATATCAATCAAAATAAAACTCTCAAACAAGAGACGACAACGGAATGACGTATTCATTGACCAAACCAATTTAGTTAAACAAGCGTTAGGAATTTATTTAGGCTTTATGCATCAAATAATTCTTTTTCAAGGTTATAATTAGGATCAAAAGGACTCCGTTATAGATATTACTACTCAAAATTATATGAAGAAATATCAATAAGATTAATTTGTTATTTCAGCTTTTTTTTTCTCAATTGAATACGAACCTGGTACATGTTTATCAGCAAATTTGACATTGATAATATAAATGCCTGGTTCAGTTGGTTTATACGTAACAAGACATGAACCGTCTTCATTATCATGACATTCAATATCCGCTTTTGATGGACCTTCAATTGAAAGTGATAAACCACCATAACCTAATGAAAAAAATAGAAATTCATATTTATCTTGTAAAATTTTATTTTAACTCACCAGCATCACGTGTAACAACAGTAAAATCGTTTGTTTGATATGAATAACCTAAATAGAAGAATATTTTAAAATTATATTATTCTTCGAATCACAGCAAAGAAAAACAAATAAAATAAATGCTCTTGTTTTTACCTTCTTGTAAACCACGTCCATATACTCGAACTTTACTAGCATCACCAATTTCAGCTGAACCAACATGAATACGAAATGGACTATTTTTAATATGTTGACCATCACGATAGACATTAACTAAATGATCACCTATTTCTCGTGGTACAAATGATATACCAAGACTTCCATTAGCTAATTTTTTCAATATACATGGTTCTTCAAAACCACTTGGTGAACGTATTGTTGCATGTAAATCATGTATATCCATTTCAGTTACACGTAAACTAAATTCATTTTGATTACCAACCATAACATGTGAACGTTTATATTGATCCATTGATGGTAAACCAGTTATTTTAGCCGTAAATGGTGAACCAACAATATGTTTATCAGCAAATTTAACTGTTATTGTATATTCACCTGGTGCAGTCTTGAAAAAAAAAAACAAAAAAGAAAATAAATGTATGAGCCAAATCATTCTTTAGCGATATGATTTTGAAAAATTAAAACATGTTCATCTCGGGCTAATCTATATATATTACATGTATACTAAATTATTCTAGATATCCTGAAAAAATCAGCCCTAATGACGTTTGTTTAGCAGAATTATCAGTAAACTGATAGCGTTAGAGACGCGACATAAACAAGGTCATCGACTTTCATTTCATATATTTTAGCTTTCAAAAAACTTTGCATTGAGGTAAGATTTTTGACAAATTAAATAGTATTACAAAATCTTTGTCCAATACTTTTTCTTTTAAGCATGCCTAGTTTTTTCAAAAACATCCATTTACTTTTCCTTAGCGACATGACGAAGTACGAATATACAAAAACAAAAAAAAATACTTTTCTAACCAAATGAGAAGTTCAAAAGCTATTCCGAACGATAGAAGTTCTTCTTCAAAACATCTGGAAAGTCAGTTTTTCAATCGCATTTTTTTCTCATATGGTTAGAGAAATATTCGGTGATTACTTTTTTAATTGATGATCATCATCCAAAGAATCCAAATAGTGATTCGAATAGAGAAAATTGTTTCTAACAAGAACATAAGGAAATAATTATTATTATCATACTCCCAAAGATAGGAGCTTTAGAAAACCCAAACGCTAGTTTTTCAATACATTTTTGTTTAGATTACATAGAACGATAGAGTAAACAATGAGATGTCTCGGAATTCTTTGCGATTGTTTTCTAGTTGAGATACAGCAAGCTTATGGAAGCCCCTTTAGTTGTTTGTAGAAAAGCCATTTTTTGACCTTCAGTCAAATTATTGTATCTCAGCCGAAAAATATTGCAAAGAATTGTTTCCTTTATCATTCTATGTAGTCTACATAAAATTATACTTACGCGTTCTAAGTGCTGAAAACTTAGCCTTTTTGTTTTCTGCAGTTTCTATCTTTGAGAATCTAATAAAAACTTTGATTTCCTCTACTCGAACTCTTTTTGACACTTATAACAGTAGGAGGAAAAATTGAAAATAAACCTTATTGAATAATTTTCGTATTCGCTGTATGTCTCTACTAATAAAACTTATTCAGAATAAGAATCAAAGTCAAATGAAAGGTTTATGTATGTCGCATTTTATCTGAAATGGCTTATATAAAATATAATGTTAAATTTTAATTACCGGCCAATAAGTAACATCACATGTACCATCTTTATTGTCTTTACATTGAATTTCAGCTTTTGAACTACCTTCAACAGCAACTGAAAGACCACCCGAACCAGCATCTTTCGTAATAATACGAAAACTACATGCTTCATTACAAATACCATGACTAAGACCAGGTCCATATGCTGTAACATAACCTGTTTGAACTTGATCAACATGAAATTTAAATGGTGAACCAGCTATTGGTTGTCCTTGATAGAAGACATCAAGTTCATGTAAACCAACTTCGGATGGTTGATATTTAATTGAAACAGTTCCATCTTGATTATCTTCGATAATTGGTGTATGAATTCGACCAGTTGGAGTTCGAATTAAGGCTAAATAAAACGAGATTTTAAAAAAAATCTCTTTTTTCCTTTTTTTTTTTTTATTCGTATTCATTTTTAAAAGATTAATACCTTCAAAATCCATTTTAGTTTCTTTGAGTATACACAGCTATGTGTGTGTTAAGCTCGATCAAATATGCGTAACAATTACTTTCTTTCGGGCTGTTTACCTCATCTCACCAAACGTTCAGTATAGCGTAATTTGATCGCAACTCATTCTTTTTTACTTTTATTTAGTATCTTTCTTCTTTTTTTTTTCACACTGTTTATGTGCAGAACGATCAGCACCGGAAGCATACATACAAATACTTTTCGTTCATTCATTCCTTCTTATCAATACATACAGAAGGTGAAATGTTATAGGTATTAAAAACGAAAGAAGCGAGGAAAAAAAAGACGAAAAGCTTTCTTTTTTTTTTATGACGATTTATCACAACAAGTTCATTTATATTTATTCAATAAAAAAGTGTGAGAGAGAAAGTATATAATCACAAAAGAACAATGCCAGATTTAATGTAGATGATTTGTGATATAGAATTTATACAATGATATTTTTTAAGAATTACTTTTCGATACTTGAATGTGTTAGAATCTGATCAGAAACTTGACTTGAAATTTTTATTGATAAAAGTTTTATCTATGGTTGGATTAAAAGCTCAGATGAAAATCTTACAATTAGATTTATGCATTACAATCAAAGATAATGATAGTTTTTTGAAAGATCATATCTTTCGATTATTTACGAAAGGTTTCTTAGGTTCTTTTTTTCTCTCAAAGACATATTTTAATCTCATATAAAAATCCATTTGGGCGACTTAGTAAGATTAGTAAAAGTCAACAAAAAAGGATTTGTTGCTACGAACTTTTGAAGGTGAATTATAGTTGTTTCACTGAATTTTCGACCAATTATAACTATTCATTCGACGTTGGTTTTAACTTTTCATATATATTCTACATCGATGCGTGTCATTCGTTTTGAATAATGGCAAAAATAAGTGGTAGTCGTCAGCCAAGACCAAGCATTTTTTATGGAAAAAAATAGTCCTATTATCTGTTATTACATTTCGAATATTACGATATTATTTAAAAAAATGAAAATAATCGTTGTATTATTTAAGATTGAGCTGTAGCAGTTTAACCTTAGTATGTCATCTTCTGTTCTTATCAAAGTTCCTGAATGCATTACTGTGATGTCTTAGTTTAGTCTCACGAAGATTTTCTGGTATGTGTAATATGAGATCAAATGGCAAGTATTAGTTCGGATAATTCCCTAGTCAGGAAAAAATACGAATCTAACAGAAACAAAGTTAATCATATGAAATAGAGATGATCAGTGGAAATATTGCCCAGGTCGATGATTCTCAGTGGATTTCCGTCGAAATCTGGTGACTAAATTATTCTAGTTTCGAGCAGATAAGGTCACTGAATACAATCACCAGATTCCTGCTTTCAAGTTTCTACTAATTTTTCAGGCTGACATGACCTTTATTTTCTGTCTTCAATAGACGAAATTATATAATAATAGTAAAAGAAAAGCGAATACGTTAGGACGCCCTATTACTATTTCTATTTGTTGCTTTCAACACAAACTACTAATTATAAGTTTTCATAGATTAGTACACTATCTTTGATTTCATTCAACGATTTGTCATTCGATAACGTTAGAACTATATAATTACGAAAAAAAACCCGTATATATACATACCACTAATGTCACCAAATTGACCACCACCGACAGGTAAACGAAAATCAACAGGTCGATATTGACTTGCTGTATGTCTTGATGTAACAGTTTCAGTTATTTGTGTATCTCGATAATATTTATCGCCATCGCCAGCCTTTATTGAAAAACAAGAATTTATTGATATATATATATATTATAAATTGTAACAAAAAAGAAAGACAATTTTAAGCAGCATTGCAATAAAGAAACAAAAAGGCATATTACCATTGAATAATAGAATAGCAGATTTATTGTAGCCATTTTATTTTCAATGACAAATGACAAAAGAAGAACACGAAGAAAAGAAGTTTTATATTTGATATCTTTCGAAATAGTGTCCGGAAATGATTATACCCATAAGCGTTTTTTTTCTCTTTATCTTTTAATGCGACACCTCAATTCATAATCTGCTTTCGAGTGTTGCATATATTAACAAAAAAAATGAGAAGAAGAAGAAGAAGAAGAAGAAGAAGAAAGTGATCCGTGTTGTTAGATTAGTTAGACATTAATATGTGATAATTATATCTAAAGTCTAGCATACCCTGATATCTGTTGTACCCTAAAAGAAGAAGAAGAAGAGGGAAAGCAATTTAATCGAGCTTGTTTTTTTTTTCTCTGTTACACACAGAACAGCAATTGTTCAAGTTTATTTATTTATTTTTTTTGCATTATGCCTACCATTGATGAAAAAGGCTAAATGGTGTTAGTAGTTTTTTTTTCGATTGGAAACAGCATTTTTGTTAGTATAAAAGAAAGAAAAGAAATTCTTTTCTTTGTTTTTTAAACTTACCGTTACAACAAAATCACCACCAGGAATATCTTGTCCACCAAATTTAATTTTAATAACATAATTTCCTGGATTATGTGGTGTATAGAATAGATTAAATGTTCCATCTTCATTATCAACAATATCAATATCAAGATCATTGCCAAGTGTTGAACGTATACGACATGTTACGGCACCTGGACCAGCTTCATGAGTATCAACTGTAATTGTATATTCTTCACCGACTTGAAGATTAGGATTAGTACCAGTGCCTAAAAGAACAGATGTTTATTTATTAAACAAAAAAAAAACATCAAAATTATTGTTTTTGTTTTTCTGTTACCAGAAATATGGCATTTCGTTGGATCTCCGATTGGTTCCACTTTCACGTTAAATGGTGAATTATTAATTGGGATACCACCATAATTAACATTAATTAAATATCGACCAACATCATTTGGTTTATATGTAACCTTATATGTACCATCTTTATTATCAACAATTTTTGATGGAACTAAAAGACCTTCAGGATTCTAAATATAATTGAAATGAGTAAAAAAAAATGAAAAGTGGAAGAAAAAGAAGATTTCTTTTTTACTTTAATTAAAACGTCTGGATGTTCAAAACCAGCGTCACGTGTATCAATACGAAAGTATGTTTCAAGTGATGCTGGAATACCGTTATGAATACCAGGACCGTCAACAATAACTTTATGTGGTTCAAAATGAGGAAGAACTTGAACGTTAAATGGACTAGATTTTAAAAAAAAATTATTTATTTATTTGAATTCGAATAAAAAAAAAAAATATTAATCTTTCATTTAATTACCTTTGACGTATTGGTTGATCACTCCAATTAATATCAATACGATGTGGACCTTCAATTTGTGGTGTAAATTCTCCAACGTAAACACCGTCACCTCTTGGTCGAATACTTGCTGGTTTACGACGACCTATTATGATAATAATAAATATAAATGATTTTAGCGTATGAATAATATCGATCAGGTTTCAGCACTTTTTGATATGTGCTTGGCAATATATATAACGAAAGAGAGAATAAATGATGAAGAAAAGGTTAATGAAATGCGATTATATTGCAATAGTGGCACCATCCATCTCTCATTTCTATGTTATTACTTTCTTTCATTGATTCTATTTATAAAAACGTTCTTTTCGTTTTCATTATAACCTTTCCATAGATACATATAAAAAAAAAAGTGTTGTTTTCATTTTCTCATTCTCTTCGTATTACTTTCAATAAAGAAAAAATGAAAAGCATAAATTTCGTCTTTTTTTCTTGTTTCTTAATTAAAATAATAAAACCTTACCATGTATATCCGTAATATCAACAGCTGGAGTACCAGGTCCAGCTGCTTGACCATCGATTAAAATTTCTTGTAAAACATTAGCACGCATAGTTGGACTCATTTTAACGTTAACACGATTAGCATCAAGTCGATCACGTACTTGAACTCGAAATGGTGAACCTACAATTAATATATATATATATACAATGTAAATAAATTATTCATTTACCTGGTACATGTTGTTCAGCAAATTTAACTGCAATATCATATTGACCAGATTTAGTCTAAAAAACAAAACAAAATTTCAAATCTTCTTTTTTTTTGTTTTGTGCTTATCATACAGGTAAATATTCCATAATACAAGTACCATCTTGATTATCTTTACAAACCATTTTTGCTTCTGATGGTCCTTCAATAGCTAAACCAAGACTACCTTGTCCAGCACCTTTTGTTTCAATAGTAAATGTTGTTGGTTCATTTGTTATTGCATGTTCAAGACCTGGTCCATATGCACGTACACGCATTGGATCACAACCTGGAATAGCATTAACACGAAATGGACTACCCGGTACAGGTATATTTTCATATGTAACTTCAATTTGATGTATGCCTATAATAAATAAAAAAAATTCATTTCAATACATATAGTTTTATTAATATTTATTTACCTGATTCATATGGTGCATATTGAACTTGATATGTACCATCAGCCATATTTTTCACAGGGCATCTTACAATTCGACCACTTGGTGATGTTAATAAACATTCGACACGTCCTGAACCACTACCAGTAACTGATTTAGCATCAACAGTAAATTCCGTTGGACTTTCAAGAAAAACTCCTAAAGGTAAAAAACAAAAATAGTCATTAACAAACAAAATCTTATTAAAAAAAAAACAAAGAAACAATTCAACATCATGCATTAAAACATACAATTCACCACGGTTACATCTTTTCGAAAAAAGAACCAATAAAGCGACAATTAATACTAAACATATGAGTATATATATCTCATAAGTTTTAGTAGAAAAATTTTATCACTTCAAAAAAAAAACAAAGCCATATTTCATGCGGGCGAAATGAGTCAAAGGAAAAATATATATATATGTATAGCGCATGCAATATCATTGATTAGATATATATATATGAATATAGATATATATGTTCTCGTTGAATCCATAAAGTGTACACACCATTGGGGTCAAGACCAGGTCCATAACAACGAATAGCTCGTGTATCAAGATCAGCTCGTACAGCAGCACGAAACGGCGATCCCGGTATATGTTTTCCTTCATACAATATATTAATATTGTAATTTCCAGCGACTGTATATAATCAATGTTTAACATATTAACGAAACGATAACAAACAAAAAGAAAAAGAGAGAGGCTACCTGTTGGATGATAGGTTACACGACAACTACCATCATTATTATCTTGATAATCAATTTTTGATTCTGATGGTCCTTCAACTGTTATACCCAATTGACCATTACCAGCACCACGTGTGTCAACAATAAAATCAGCTGGTTTATTAACTGTACCTTGTGATAGACCTGGTCCATATGCACGTACTTTATTTGGATCCAGTGGTTCAATAGCTGTTACTTGTACAGGACGTAATGGTAATGTACATACATCAGGTTCAATAAGATATGAACCTGGTTCAGGTACATTAAAACGAAGATTATATCCTTGTGGTGCAGGTGTTACAACAGCTTCTTGTGTATTGCCTGTTGGTCCAACGATTTTAGCATGTATCACATTTGGCGATAATGGACCAGCTGCTAATGTATTTAATGTTACCTGGGCAGGCTGTCCAACAATAGGCACTAGGATGGACGATAGAGATAGAGGGCGTGTAGAAAGAAAAATAAAAAAGAAAACAATAAACAAGGATTTAGGTATCAATGCGCACACAAACATTTATAAGAAAAGTAATTATGATTTTTTTTTAGTCTAAATCTATGTCAATAAGGAAAAAGAAAAGAAAAAGAAAACACTTACTTGTATCAAGACCTTCAATACGTATTTTACTAATATCAACACTTGGTTCAACATTAACTTTAATTGGTGATATTGGTATTTCATTATCACCAAATAAAACACTTATACAATGCACACCTGGTAATTTAGGTGTATATGCAATTCGAAATGTTCCATCTTGATTATCATCAATGGTAAATGGCACATCTTGATTTTTTGTATCAGTTAATGCAATTGATATATCGCCTGAAAAATTTGCATTTTTGAAATTCACGGAATAAAAAAAAAACAAATGTTACAATAGTGAATAAAAGTCTTCTCCGTTCTCTTCCGGAAGTGCAAACACCTATTGTTAGAAGCACCGACACATAGCACAGTAACCACAAAAACCGCTAGAATTAACCCGATTTTTGGAACGGTGTCGCTCTTCAACCAGATAAAACACTGATTATGATGGGTTGCACTTATTTACTTTTTTTAAAACTTTATAACTCTGAGAAATCCTTTGTAAAATTATAGTTCTGCATGGCTATTCGGATAAAAAAAAATACTATTTGCTGACCTTTGGTGGAGACCGTAATTCAGGGAAGAACCTCTCCAGGTGTCAAATCGCTTTTCGATCGAACGATATTCATTTGATGAGTACTAGTGTGTAATAGAAAAGCCTACACTGATTTGGTTTCCTAGACTTTGGTTCTTGGGATATTGGAATTTTGCTCAGTTTCCCAACAAAACATTGTAATCACGAGAAAAATCAACTTTCGACTTTAAAATTTGCACGAACAAGATTCTTAATGAGATTAGTTCATTGGGTAAATTTTAACCTTTCTAGTATTTGTTATTCAGAGGTATTGAATATTCGAAATTCTCTCATATGTAAAACCAAATTTTGTACATCTCCAGAAAGAAAATACTAGTTGCACAATCAACTAATCTAATTGAAAACTTTGCTCATAACCAAGTTTGAAGTTGAAAGTCGATTTTTCACATGACCACAGTTTTCTATTGAGAAAGTTAGTAAAATTTAATTATCGCAAGAGCGAAGGTCCGTAAATATAGACTTTTCTGTTACTTCCTAGCGCTCATCAAATGAACATTGTTTCATTCTGAAAGTAAATTGATACTAAGAGAACTTCTCTCATCAGTAATAATTCAATAAATCGTACTGAAACTTTGTCTACACTTGAGTATCACTAGCTGAAGGTGACATGAAAGAATCTTCTAAATGAAAATACTATTCGGATAATCATTGTGTTGATACAGAGATTGTTAAAATACCAAGAATTAGTTCTATACCTGATTTCAGACTTTCAACATATTTAGTAGCCGATATGCGAGGAAGAAAGACTTTTATTCACTACTGATTATTGAACTGTTTTTCCTTTTTACCTGGTCCAGCTTCTTTGCAATCAACGATAAAATGTGTTGGATTATTCATTTTAACACCACGTTCAATACCAGGACCATAAACACGAACTTTTGATGGATTTGATGGTTCTGTTGGCCAAACCTAAATTTTAATAATTATATTTATTATTTTATTTTTAAACACAAAAAAAGAAATTACTCGAAATGGGCTATTTGGTATAGCAACACCACCATAATCAATTAAAATCGAATGACGTAAAGGATTTCGTGGTGTATAACGACATGTATGTGTTCCATTAGCATTATTACGAACTTGTACATCAACTGGTTGATATTCTTGATCAATAGCTTGAACACGTAAAGGTGCTTCACCAGCATTCTGTGTATCAATTGTAAATTCAGTTGGTTTACCAATAATTTGTCCTGATGGTTCAAGTCCTGGGCCATAAGCTTTAACCTAAACATAATTATTATTTTTGTTTTTTGTATTTTATTAAATTCTAATGAAAAAAAATTAAATTTTTTGTTTTTCTTTTTACTTTATTTGGATCAAAGTTTCCTGGTGCTTCAATCCAAGCCATAAATGGTGATAATGGTATATCTTCATCATTACAAAGAATGTGCACTGCATATTCACCAGGTATTGTTGGCCAATAACGTACATTAGCTGAACCATCACCATTATCCTTACACTCAATACGTGCTTGTGATGGTCCTTCGATTGAAAAACCTTGAAAACAAAACAAACAGATGTTTTTTTCTGTAATACATAGAAATAAATAGGAACAAAACTTGGCTTCATGCTATCAAAAATGGAATACACAAACGCAAAAACAAAGGGAGTACATATGACTTACTTATATCTCCTAATGAAAGAAAGTTAATACGATTGTAAAATTAGCAAAATAAAACAAAAAAAAAAGAAAGTTAAATAGAATACCTAATGAACCAGTTTCTCCATTTGTTTCAACAACAAAATCAGCTGGATAACCTACGACACCACCTTCAAGACCTGGACCATAGGCACGAATACGTGAATCTTTATATGGTCCAACTGCAACGGGAAATGGACTTCGTGGGATATGTGCACCACCATATGTTATATTAACTGTATGAGGCCCAACATGATTTGGTACATAACCACATTCATAAGTTGTACTATTGGCTTTTGTTACACGGCAAGGAAGTTCCATACCATCTTAAATTATAATAATTTATTCAAACATAAATTAAATAAAAAACAAACAAAAGAAACTCTACCTGGTCCAGTAACTGTTGCTTTCATAGCACCTTCACCAGCATCTTTAGTAATAACACGAAATTCAGCTACATCACCTGTACGAACACCTTTGGGTTGAATACCTCGTCCAAAAGCACGACATTTCTTAGCATCAGATGCTACAAAATAATAAGAAGAACAATATTAATAAAAAACTACTAAAATACTTAATGAATTAAATTCTAGTGGCGTAGCCAGACTAGAGAAGATTGGCTTTGAGCTCTCCTATTAGTAGTTGAGTTCTGCTTTAAATTGAAATTAATAATCGTCTTCTAGAAACATTATCAGATAGTCTCCACTCGGCTCAAACTTAATTTCTTTTTTTCGATGAATTTTCCAGGTAAGAAAATAGAACATTTATTCGATTCAATAGTATTCCTCATCCACAAACGAGGCCAAATGCACTATTAACTGCATAAAGTGGCACGAATGTTAACTGTATAACTAAAAATAGTAATCGATTTGACTCTTTGAAATTTTTATCAATGGACCTTGTACTCATGAAAGGCTTTCGTTTATAAATGATAGCCTTCAAGAAGTTAACATATTTACACACACATTGTAGCCTAATAAGTAATTCAACTTATCTTTAATGCTGTTTTCTCAAGCAGTAAAATTGTCCAACTTTATTCAGCTCACAATCAACTATGATAATAAACTTTTTACAATGTTCTAATAAATAATTGTAGTAACTGTGGAGCTCTATCGGGTGGAAATCTTTTTATGTAAAAGAAATATACTTTTAATTGTGCCATTCTAAGCTCTAATAGAGTAGAAGTTAAACTAGGCCAGGCATCAGCAAAGCTTAGCCTGGTGTCGGCCGAGCTCTACCATCAAAAATCGACCTGATTTCGAAGCATATACTCCTACAACTGTTTCTAGTTACACTACTATTATATCGATCATTCATTAAAGGTCAAATAACAAAACTAACTGCATTATCCGTATTCCCTTCTACAGACAAATCATACTGATAATTACTGCCATTTCATAGAATTATAGATTATATCACACATTTCATTTGTTCTAATTCAAGTAATGAATAATAATTCTCTTCACTTGTTGTTAATCTATTTCTAATATCATAGGATACGAAAATTTGAAACTATTAAATTCTATGCAATAAAATTATTTTTTTATACATACATGATGCAACATTAACACCATATGGACTATTTGGTATAGGTCGACCAGCAAAAAAAACATTAACTGAATGAAGACCAGGTTCACGTGGTACATATTCACAACGAAATTTTCCTGGACCTGTTTGTTTTACTGACACAGGTACAGCATCTTGTCGACCACGTGGATTAACAACAATAACTTCAGCGAGGCCATTACCAGCATCTATAAATTATATGTAATTAAAAGAAAAGAAGAATAAATTCTTCAACAAACTTGTAGCATCAATTTCAAACCAAGTTGGTTTATCAACCATAACACCATTTGGTTCAAGACCTGGCCCATGTGCATGACATTGACTAGCATCACCTGCTTTTCCTTCAATATAAGGAGAAAATGGTGATTTTGGTACTTCTTGTCCACCATATTTAACAATAACCTAATGAAATAAATATTTCTACATATATTCTTTTCTTTTAATTTAGTTTAAGTTACTTTATATTGTCCTTCCATTGTTGGATAATAAGTACAATCATATGTTTGATTTTTATCATTACGAAATTCAATGTCACACTAAAAAAAAATTAATTAAACTATTTATTTTAACAAGAAAAAAAGCAATCAAACAAAATCTTCCTACTTTTTCTCGTTGACCTTTTGGATTAATAACAATAACTTCAACATTACCTTGACCAGCAGCAAATGTTTCAACATGAAATTTAGCTGGTGCATCAACTTGATTACCACTTGGCTCAATACCTTTACCATAACATCGTACACGTGCTGAATTTGTTTTTGGTTTAATTGGTGCGCCTGGTTTTAATTTAGCACTTGGATATTGTGATAAATATGTCATCATAGATTGTTCATCAACTCTTGGATTAATCATTTCATGTGGATGAATTAATTGTGGAATACCTAAATAACGTTCAGCTAAATCCATAGCTTCTTTAGCATTTTCTAATGCATTTCTTGGATCACGTTTATTCCAATCAGGAAAAAGACCTATTCAAGTAAGACAAAACAAAATATTCTTCTGTTTTTAATATTAACATTAATTAAAAATTAAAAATATACCTGGTGCACATGCATCAACAAGGGCACCAATAGCACGACCATCATTCCAATCAGATGTAAAATTTGTAATAGGTAATTCTGGTGGTAATTTTTCTTGTATCCAATTCATAAGTTTTTGTTTAGGTGTTGCATCACGTCCTAAACCAGGTGCATCTGGTTGTTCGAATTCCCACATTGGTAAGGAGATTGAATAATGTAAAATAAGTGTCCATATTAAACCAAGAATTAATTTTAATTTACCATCAACAATATGTGTAGCATCTTTATGATAATACATTAAAAAAAAAAAAGAGAGAAATGTTTATCTCGAATTTTTACATCATATGATAAACTTGGTAACATTCGTTTTCTTTTTTATTTTGTAGAGTTTACTCAGACTTTGTTTGCTTGTTTAATATAATCATAACTCAAAAATAACAGTCTTATAAAGCAATATTTGAAAACTTAGATTTCATACAAAAAAAAGAGAGTAGAAATTGAAACCTTTAGTCAAGGAATAGTACATTATATTTTATGAGAATTCGAAAAATGCATTTGACTCAAGGATGTTAACCTTAAAATGTATTTACCAATATTGACTCATATAAATAAAATGAATTCTTATTGAGATTAAACATATCTTTCTATCATAATGATTAGACATGATCTAGATAGCTAAAGTTCTTATCAATAAATTACGTTGAATATCACAATTGATTCAAAATATAAAAATATGTTGTAGATTTTTTTCTTTCACTACATCAAAATGGTTATCGGATAAAAGTTGTATTATTACTTTTGGTCTATCATTGAACTTCATCTATATGATGAAATTTGAAACGTTCTTTATTACACTACATTGTAAGACGAATAGACAATATTGATATAGGTGATTAACACTATAAAATCAAAAGCACTCTCTATATAAACGTAACAAAATGAAAGTACTAAATCTTTTGTAAAATAAAAGAAAATCTTAACATACTCATCTCAAGTATTGTCCTTCTTTACTATGGTTAAAATAAACATTAGATATTTGTCCTTTTCATATTAACTTACCGATATTAACAAGACGTATACGTTCTGTATTTTCAAGAAAATCAAGTATAACAGATACATTTTCAAGTTTTTGTGAACGAAAATTTGGTCGTCGATTATATTTTGGTACTCGTTTTTGTGATAAAACTTCAATTAATGCGATTAAATTTAACCCATCACTTAATTCCGATTGTAAATCATCAACATGACGATTAACTAATTTTAAATGTTCATTAGCCCAACGTGTAAATGTATTTTGTTGAATTCTTTTCCATGGTGCATCATCAGCTAACTCACGCTGCATATCTTCATCAAATTCTATATATAGGAATAAAGAGAAGAAAAAAAAAGAGAATGCAATGTAAAGATAAGAAAAAATAACACGAACAACAAAAGAAAAAAAAACGAAAAACTACTTTTTTTCTGTTACTTTTATTTACCTTCTTCTGTGCGTCCAAATTCGTCTTCTTCAATTGGTTCACCTTGTTCGTTGTATTGAGGATTTTCAATGTAGCCAGAACCGCCTCCTCCTCCACCTGAATAGCCGTTTGCTGACTGGTTGTACATAGTTGACAATCTCTTTCTTTTTTTTTCTTCTTTTTTTGTTCTTTTACTTTACCAACGGCAGGTTGCGGTAATTTTGGTGGTTATACGTTTTCGAATCGTAAATATGATTCACCTAATAGATGAAAGAAAAGAAAGAAAAAAAAAAAAGAACAAATGAAATTTTTCAAAAAAATGTTTTGTATTTAGCGTGTGTGTGTGTGTATGTTGTGCGTGTGAGAGAGAGAGAACAGAATAAATCTCCAACGCCAACCTCTATTAGAATAGCAGTCAACATACACAAAAGAGAAGAGAGGCACCTGTGTAAGATGTGTGCATGCGATGAGATATTTTGATAGACAAAATAGCAACAACAGAGAATGACTTGAAATATAGACGAATACAAATGTATGTTATGCGTATGAGAGAGAAAGAGAGAGAGAGAAAATGCCACTATAGGTTTTGTTTTATTGACTTCTTATCAAAAAAGAGAAGAGAGAATAAACGGCTTCTGTCTTTGTATGTTTTAATAATCGTACTAAATTGTCTTTGTGGGAATCACTAAAGTAACATAACCAATGAAACAAGTTAATGAGACAACGTTTCTGAGAAGCGACATCTCTTCTTTAAAGAGAAAGAACAGATATACAAGATGTTAGTTAGAAAGAAAAAAAAGAAGCAAAGATTAAACCACCATACATAGATGTACTGATGAATGAATGTCAACTGGCCTATTGAGAAGAGAAAAAATATGGTTATTCTTCCGCTTACTTCTGCGCGCATTGAGTCTTAAAATAGCCTATCTGTTTTTGTATATTATTCAACAAACTGTTAAACATAAAAAATCTCAACATAAAAACTCCTAAGGCTTGCTTATAATAAAATCAAAAACTAAATCAATTTATGTTTTTTTTAATGTTACGTATTCAGCCACTTATAACGCCTTTTCTTTTTCTCATTCATACAGGTGACAGAATAAGGTATGTGAGTACGGGTATATTTATTCATCGTCATTATTATCTTCTCGTAAGATGAATGACTTAACTAAAAACGTTTATTGATTCAAGGCCTTCTTTTCTTACTCGGCCACTATAGAAACATTTACACAAGTGTGTAGGTTTCTACTATATATATATATATATGTAATGAGCGACATTTCATCATACGATAGCATATCGATGATCTTCTTCTTTTCTCTTTTTCTTTATTCTCAAGACATGGCATTGTGTTGAGCACCCGATGAGTGGCATCACTAATCTTTTGTATGTATAGAATAAGGACGCGAGAAAGTAAAAGGACAAGCGATTTTTAAAACAACGTACTATTCTCATCGTTTATAGGGTCTTTTTTTAATCAAGTCATATTTATCATTCGATAATTGTACAAAAAAAAATTTTGACATATATATAATTTTTTTTATTGTTGTTATAAGAGGTCATCATATTTTTTCTCTCTTTCTCTATGTCTCTCTCTTATATCATCTATGTCTTTTATTCTCAAATGCTAGCTTAACTAAATTTCTACTTCATATAGACGTATGATTTGTAACCTTTTAAGTTGATTTTTTTTTTCTATGAGAAAAATTACAATATTCAATCGTTTATACTCACAGCACAAAGACCGATTTTTGTACTGTAGTTGTTATTGATGATGTCGTTTTCGAGGGTTTTCGCTGCTGAGCAAGAGCTCCGCTAGCTTAAGTTGATAAGAAAACAACAAAAGAGTATATAGATGTGCGCGTTATGCGACCGTATATACGTATGTGTGCGTCTGTGCAAGATGCTGTGTGCCCCGGATATGGAAATAACTCTAGCGTGGGTGGTAGTTTGTGTCGCAAGGAGAGGACAAACCTCAAGGAAAATAGATCGGTCTCTTTTTTTCTTCTTCTTCTTCTTTTCTTGTACAGACAAGACCACAAAAAAAAAAGAAAAAAGTAAGCCATTCTGAATGAGTCGATATATCTTCTTTATAGGATATTAGTCGAGCGAACCAGAATGTTTCCTCTCTCTTCTTATTCTTCTTCTACCGACGATCAGTCATAAATCGTAAGCTAGAACACAACAGTGATGTCGCTTAGTCCACAGAATGATCTAGAAGGAGAAAAGATCTATATACAAGAACGGCGTAAACGACGACAACGACGACAACAACAACAACAACAATAACATAAGCAGATAAAATGCCAGCAACCTCAATCCATACAGAGATATTCCTTTTCTTCTCGCATACATATATATACAAACTAACAGGCGAAGCAGCACGAAAGAAAAGGATGGAAAATATAATATTGCTCCGATATATATTGTCTCCACTGTTGTATCCCACGTATCTATCATTCTTCGTCTTCTTCTTTTGCAATGAATTTACAGTACTATTGCTAGTATTAGTACACAAATAGAGAGAGAGAGAGAAAAGAACATGACTGCCGAGTAGGTTCTAACAAGCACATAACCAGAAGAAAATTATAGGCAGAGTAGTAACACTCGATTCTCTTTCTCTATCTACCGTTATATTCTATCTATTGGGTAAATGAATATTGTGGTTATGATGTAAAATTCAAGAGTTCGTATATATCAATAATTATAAATATACATTTTCGAACAGGTGTACGATACAAATATGGCAGACATTCAATTCTTATCTGATTAGTTTGCTCTCATTCCACGTTTTCATTTCTTTTTCATTGATCTAGATGCCTTTTTCTTTTCTTCCCTCTCTCTATTTACCGGACAGCTCATAAAATCCAAAACATGAAAAAAAAAGAAAAGAAAATGGAAGTAATCATCAATACTATTTGCTTTTTTTGCTCTGGTGTTACATTGAAAATGTCCTTGATCAATTGATCGACAATAACTATGGGATTATTTTTTTTTCTACTCGCAGTTACTTCTTTTTTTTTGATTGTACGTGTTTGTGGGATGAGATGGTATTGATAAAAATGTTCGCTTTATTGACGCATTAATTTCTCCATGATCAATAACTTAGCATAGAGAGAAAAACAAGAATGACAGATTCTCTGCAGGTGATGCTGTCTATAGACATTTCTCATGTTATTTCGCCTACGATGCATATCTCTCCAGTTTGTATTATCATTACACTAATTGTGACTGCCTGTTGACTAAAGACATTTTTGCGATTATACATAAAACAAAAATAGATACTGTAAGTGATGTATTTATATTATCGTGATAAAAAAAAACCAAGCAATAAAGAGTAATAATTATTTGGCATATTTGTTTAATCAAGTTTGTAGCCGAACTAAGTATAATTGAAATCTTGAAAAAATAAATTTTGTTTTCTCTTTAATCATGCTAGATATGGATTCTTCTCGAAATTAGAATCTTTAATGTTGATGTTAGAGTTTGTTTTAGTATATAATGTCGTGCCAATTATTGGTATCATATAATTGTTTTATATTTATTTCCTCAAAATATAAATAATTGTACTTTTCTTCTTGATTAGTACTATAATAGTTATCACGCAAATATCAAACTTGCAAGACTTAATGATAATAGATTGTGTCGAAATCTTTTCATCAAAGGCAATCTGTTATATTCTGATGAGAGAGTCGATAGATAAATTATTCAGTACGTACCGTATTTTGGCAAGAAAATATGTCAGTCATTCTATAAAAAAATTATCTAGCAAAAACAAATATAGTATTAAGAAGTGTCCAGTATATGATCAGCAATATAGATTTATATCCTATTAAAAATTATGTAATAAATTAAAATTATTTTTATCCATTAAAACATGTCTATTGCTAATGTGAAATGATCCATATTATGTCAATTAAATCAAACAATCAGATTTTATGCTTAATTTCCTTTGCACAAACAATTTCTACCTTGAATATAAGCTGATAGCAAGTACAGAACTGAAAGAAAAATCTTCTCTTTACCAAGAGACAAGATAATATGCGTCTATCGTTTTATAGAAATACTCGATGTGTTACATACCACAACTTTTACATGTCCTATAATGCTAAATTACTATAACAATGTAAGCAACATATAATAAGCATCTTGAATGTGGCTAAAATTGTTGCAACGTTGCTTATTCAAGCAGAGAAATAACAAATCATCTTAAATTAAGATACGAAATTTTATTCTCGAAAAACTTCTATTAGCTTTAGTTTATTACGATAGAACAAAATAAATTCTATAGGCTATGATTATATAATTCAATGAATAGCATTACTATTAGTTTTGTCGAAAGGAATATTGAGTTTTCTCCATAAAAAAAAAATAATAATCCGCTATTAGAGTGCTCGAAAGATTCTATTGATTATATATAATACGATGTTTTCTAATATGCATTCTTATGATTAGACAGCAAGCAATAGTTTGAGAAAGGCGACAATATTTTTTTCCATAGGATTACTCATTGTCCTATTATTCTAGAAAGTTCGAATAATGTAAAACAAAAAGGCATTTTTTGTTTATATACGACCGAACAGACGATTTCTGTTTAGCAAAACTAGAATGTTATTAAATACTTTTAGATAATTCGAAAATCGCAATTGATATGGAGTCCAATTACATAGTTTCAAGCCTGTTAGGTATCCGTTTACTAACTTGAAAACAACCTTAGAAAAACGGAAACAATTTATTTGAGATTGATTGAATCATATATTGTAGCGTATAGAAATCTATTTATGTTTCATTGTTTCTCCCAATAGAAAAATATAGGATCATGTATTATTTTCTTGGTTTACAGAAAGAATATGGCAAAGATTTTCCCTGCATATAATATAATCAAATAAAAATGAAAAAGTTAGAACCCTTGAGGCATTATAATTACATTCAATATATAGAACTTTTGATGCAAAAGCAATATTAATCGAGTAAAAATTGGAATAAATTGAAGAGTAGTTTTTTTTTTCTCAGAGTTATATTCTTCATGTACACTCTACACTTTTTTTTTTTGAAGAATATTATTACTCTTCTCTTATTTGTAACAGTCAATTTGTGAGCAATTCAAGCAGAATATAATGTAGAAAGTATAATAACTAGTGGGCCATAATAAATTGGACTAAGTCTAGATACAATTTTTCCAGTCATTTAAACTCATTCATATAATACAAAGCATGGAGAATTTCATTCTTAGAAAACAATATTTTACCTTTGCATGACAATTTAAAGATTAATATATCGTGTACATGCCAATTGCGACGTAAGGTTGCTGGTGCTTTGAAAAAAGGATGAAGAGTCTCAATAACAAAGAATTTTATATTAAAAGATAGCTTCTATGTGGCCAATAGACTTTCAAATATCCAAATTTTATTGAGGAGTTGAAAATATCATTCATGATAAATTTTTAAGCAATGAAATCTATTTTTTTCCTTGAGTGAAAGTTCAGTTGCAGACGTTCTTATTAGGACACCAAAATAAAAAAAATAAAAAATTTCGTTCTCTATAACACTACATGACTTGTAAACTACAGTACGACATATTTTTTCTGAAATGGATATAAAATTCTATTTTTTTTTCTATTCCATTGTATTCTGAATTTTTGCATCAAGCTATTGTTTAAAAATTTCAAGAACAGATGATTTTATCCAAAAAATTTTCGTAATTTTAGAAACCTAGTAAAGTTCTCAATAGCGACATCACACTTTGTTTTAGTTCTGTGATCGATACTATACAATGTACTTTAGTGTGTTGAAAAGTTCTTTATAAAAGTGAAGTACACAATTTTGTAGAGCTTCAAATTCTCTATCTTTTGACATATAAATGAATATTAAATGATTGAACAGTTGCATTTACAATTAGATTCATGATGATCTACCCATTAGCTGATTTTGCGCAATACAAGGATGAAACCGATACCATCTCTGACCCATTAGCAAGATTTAAGCCGAAGCATATATAAACATAAAGTGAAAATACAACTAATCGAGAGTATCAATCTGTAGTTAGTAGACAAATACTTATATGTGTATTCTTCGTTGTGCATGAAGGTAACGTCTTCGCTTGAGTTTCGGTCTATTGAAAACAGTTGTTAGATGGATTGTTTCCTCATCTGAGAATTGGTTTGGATGTCTCATGAAAGAACGTATACAACTGATCAGTTGTTGTTTTTTTTAAACAAAAGCTAGTAGATTAGAGATTTTTGATTATGCTGACTTTCTAGACTAAAAAAATTTTCGTCAAAAAATATTTTTCTTCTGTCCAGATTATAGAACATATGGATTGATCTAATAATTGTTTTTTTTTTTTGTTATAACGTACAGACATTTTAGTTCACACAACAGATATATATCAACATTTTAATGTGAAAATTTTTCAAGATGATCGTATTTTTCTTAAAATTCATTTTTTTTTTAAAACAGAACAAATTATTGACTTATAGACAACTCAATTATAAGAATACATTGAAATTGTTTTAAGATATTATTTTTTTTTTCATGTCTCATCTCTTCGAGTAGAATATTCTTAGGCGTTTTGAAGCGTAGTATATAAAACTGTTAAATATTCTACTCGTTTCTGAAATAAGAAAAAAAATTTATGCTTTAGTAAATCGAGTAAATTCAGTTAATTTTAACACTGTTGGCACTTAAAAGGTTAAACAACAACGAATAATCGACAAAATCAAGTGTATCGAGTCTGCGATACTGATGCAGAAATTATTAATCAATAATAGATTGCGGGAAAAGTTTATCGCGTGACTCAATTTGTTGTGTAATTGGAAGAAGATAAAAGGTTTTTTCTTTAACTTATCGGTATGATTCGTGAAAATTTAACGGCGCTATTCTTCATATATTAGTGCCTTGACATGTTCTATATTATGCATCACCTAAGATAGATGTGTGTGTATACATCGCGTGTGAAAATCCAACCATGTTAGAACTACTAGTCAGAATATTGTCATCAAGAAAAACTTTGTTTTCAATGTGTCAATATACCAACAATGTTGCTTCAAACAAATTAACGGCATGATTTCTTTGGTTTAATCATATTTCGAAGTGTGCATGCATTCTACTTAAGAACTATTCAGCACGAAGATATAGGACCTTGATGGGTTATTCAAAGAGAACAAAAGAAGGAGAACGATAAGATAAACATGCACATGAAATAATTATGGATGTACCTTGTTAGAAAATTCTCTGACATAACCGAACACTAAAATTATTTGTACTGAAACTGACATACATAATTCGAATGACCCCCGATGAGAACTAATACCATTTGGTACAGAATGAAATTATGTATTTGACACATAACGTAAAGAACTAAGCCAAATCGTGGAACAAAGCCTAACAAGAAAAGGTCATATACAATAATAATTTGAGTTGTGTCGTATATTGGCATTTTGCCATTTTCGATGTCAAAAGATGAAACCAGTTGACTAAATATTAAATGTAAATCTTGAACTGATCGATAGCTTCGTGACATAATGTCAATGCAAAATGTATTTCCTTTATCTTTCTAAGAAACGGAAGAAAATGTGATTAATATAGATGAAGTATTTTTCACACATGATGAAATACATTCCGTGCGAATGAGTATGATTCAACATTTACTTTAGAACAGACATGTTAATTCTTTATGTAACAATATTTGGTCGGAAAATTTACTAATTCTCAACGCGATCAAACATATTGAAACAATAATTAAAGATAAATTTGAAAAAAACATGAAGTAACATAATACTGAAATGGATGGAACCTTTCTATAGTCATATTCATTTCGAAAATAGATATTCAAAAAACACTAGTGATCGTCATGCTAATTATTGACTGTATTCATTAAATGATAGAACAAAATAAGCATGACGTTTTTCTATTAATAATTTTCTATTATATTTAGTATTGGTTTTATTATATGGAAAGCTTTTTATCATGCTTATAATCAATAAGATCTTTGGAATTTCAGGCATTGAACATGAAAAAAATCTTCCTAATCCTTACTGTTTAATATTGATAAGCCTTATTTAATGAAAATATGTAATCTATTGTTTATACTAATTAAAATGATAGTGTTATTCTACCGGAAAAATATTGTCATGCATTCTGAGCAATAGTATGTTTATAGTTAATCATGATTGATGAAAAAGAAGTAATTAAGATTAATCATCCATGACTTGGTTTTTTTCCTCATATGAAGTAAGAAAAGGTCAATGTTATTAATCATTAATTAACAGAAATAACGTCCTCGTTTTTATAACATTTTCTTTTCATTTTATTTGACTATTTTTCATCAAAATCTAAAACAACAATCAATCACTTTCATTACGAATTCATTATTTTGTTTTGTTATTGAATATGATAATGAAACATTCTCACTAATGCTACATAACAGAAGTATGTGTAAAAATATTCTCTTGAAATTCTTTTCTATAGATATATCTAAATAAATGACAATTATCTATATGGAATCTATTTCTTTTTTTTCTATTCATAATATAGAAATGATGCGCATGTTATTTTCATGCGTTGTCATTTTCTTGTTTTGTCATATCATCATTTCATCTCATAGAACAATGTAGACACACGCAAAACAAAAAAGAAAAAAAAAAAAGAAGAAAAGCAAGATACAACACGCACAAAGATATTAACGTGAAAGACTGATGGTGCAAAAAAAATGCACCTGATTTTTTTTTTGTGCTAATAGAACATACAAAAACAAAAAAGAAAAAAGAAAAGAAAAACAAAGAATAATCGCTATACATATAAAGTAATTGATCGTTGAGAGAATGAGTCTTATTTCTTTTCATATTTAAACACATAAAAAGAAGAAACAAATTGATCAATATTGGAAACAAAAATAGAAATTCATATCATCACCGAGACGGATGTATTGAAGATGAAGATGTATTATGTAATGAATAATCTAATGGATTTGTTGTTGATAAATTTAATAAATTTTCATTAGGTGATGTTAAAGAATTAACTATTGTTGATGATAATTTTGAATCATTAGATATACCATTTGTATGATAATGATATAAATTTTTTTGATAATCATTTGATAATGAATTTGAATCATTTGTTATGATTGGTGTTGTTGTTGTTGTTGTTGTTGATGAAGGAGATGATTTTGTTGTTGATAAACGACGTGAATCAAGAATATTTTTTACAGTTGAATCACTGGTACTATTTGAATTAATTTTACTGTTCAAACTAATTAAAAAAAAAAAATAAATTTATATTGTTTAATTTAGAAATAAAAGAAAGATTTTCTTTTCATTACCGATTCAATGTTAATTCTTTATCAACAAATGCTTGTTGTTGCATATAAGAACCATATTGTTGTAGAAGCATTTGTGTTGTCCATGTTGAATTAGGAATTAATGTTTGTTCATTTTCATCAAATTTTCCATTAGTTGCTGTTAATAAATTAATTGTTGATGGTGTATTTTGTTCATTTCCATTTGTTATTGTTGTTGAATCTTCATCTGATATATCAGAATAAGCTGGTGATGATGATGATGTTGGTAGAGATTGAATAGTTGGAGTTAAATTAATTGGAACAAATGATGATGATGATGATGGTGGTGGTGTAGGAATTTTTACAGATTTTTTATTATTATGAGTTTGATCAACTTTTGAGTTTGTCCATGATGAAGTCGAAGTTGATATAGATGATTCATCTTGCATATGTAATAGAAAATGATCAGTTGATTTTACTGTAGATTTAATTTCATCTTGATCTATATTTGTTTCATTATTATTAAGAATACGTCTAAATAGAATATATAATTTTGTTTTATTTATAGATTTTATCTTCTTTAGAAGGCTTATCAAAATAGATTAAGTTCGGAATTAAAAACCTTCGTGATTGAAATAGATATAAACAAAATGAAATCGTAACCTATTCATTATTAGTTATTACAATTTTGACACTAAAAATAATCTTTATTTCTTCTCATAAACAATAAAGTTGTCAAATACATAAACGTGCACACAAGAGACGAAGCATTAATAAATTTAAAAAAGTAATGAACCTTGACGAGGGAGGATATTAAGGATCATGCAAGATGTCTGGAGTTTATTGACATTTCTGGGTAATGATATGACATTTTTTTCTAGTACTCATATTGCTAAGCGTGAAATCGACACCAAATTCTTTTTGCTGTTCGAGACTCAAAACGATTGGTCTTATCCGTTATTAGATTGAACTTTGTTGGATAACGCCCCCGAAATAAAAAAAAAGAAGCCATGACCTTCTATTATGGAAATTTATATCGCTCTTTCAAAGGTGACCTTCTATTGCACACTACGACTTTTGTTAATATTTATTAAGAAAATAGAATTCTACAGAATCGTCTCGAAAAAAAAATCTGTTTGTCTCATTGGATTCTATTAAATACTGAAGAGGTTTTTATTAACTTTTCTGGTATCTAAATAGGTATTATTAGTAATACCTATGTCGGAAAATGATATTTTTTGTTGTTTACTCTCCTGAAAATTTGCTGAAAATCTCATTACGACTTGTGAATCATTTTCTATTCTTGACGGAGTATCGGTTTAATCTTTCTCGTTAGATTTCATTTCGATAAACGAATACTTTGTCGTTTTCTTTTATGTTAAAATCTCGTATTTCCTTAATGCGTGATAGAGTTGTTTTTCTTTTTTTTTTCTATTAAGACAACAAACCTAGTTGGATTAGTTGATAAATGAATAGATATTTGTTCATTATTATTTAATGGTGATGATCGAACAAGATTTGATGAAATTTGTGGACATGGCCATGTTAATGTTGTTTGACGTTGATGTTCAGGTGATGAATGTGGTGATGGTCGTCGAACATAATCAGCAACATTAGCAAGAATATGTGCAACATCTTCTTCATCACGTGTATTTGCTTGTTGTATAGATATTGTTGATGTTGAATCAATTTTTTTATGTGAATTACTTAAATGATATTGTAATGCAATATTTGATACAAATTGTTTATGACATTGTGATTCCGGACATGATATTAATTGTATTTCATTATTATTTGATGAAAAAAATGTTGTATTTGTTCGAAATGGTGATGTTAATGGTGATGAATGATTTGTTGTTATTTCATCAATTGTATTTAATTGCATTCGTTTTGATTGTCGAGATTTAATATTATTACGTAGTTTACGATCGTCACATCCCGAGTTAAATGTAGTTGATGATAATTGTTGAAATGATGATTGATAATTTGAACATCGATTATTTCCACCGACATTCGAACGTTTTGTACGACTCGTTTTACTATTATTACGAACATCATAATCGCTAGTCGGTGATTCACATGTTAATCTATTTAAAAATAACAAAGAAAAAAGTATTAACATTTTTATTGCCTTTTTTTTCTTTCTTCACTTGTTATACCTCGGACAAGCCCAATCTTGTTTAGTTGAATCTAATAATGTGCCTACGTAAGTTTTTCCTCGCCATGTTACATTCACAACGAGTACACCTTGACAAAATAAAACAAAAAAAAAAAAAAAGAAAACAATAATAATAATATTATTTGTGAAATTTTCAAATTCATTATCAGAAGATTTTTTTTCTTATTTTATTGACAAGGTCAATCCTTGAAAAAACAACCTATACTTCACGTACAGGTGAGATAGGTAAAATTAATCTATTGCAAATAGAAAACGAGAAGTTTTACTTATCATAAACAATTGATGCGTATCAATGTATATGATTAATTGATTTTGTATCTTACATACACATACACACATATATATACAACTATTAGTTGAGCCGGAAAATAGAAATTTGCCGATGGGCATAGAGTATCTTGACGAGAAAAAAGCTTCCATCCATCATCAAAAGACATGATGATAAGATTGCACACACACGCACACACTTATTCATCGAGAAAAAATACGACATGTCTTGCGTTGTTCTGTGACAACATGCCATATGACAGAAAGCGGGGAAACACTTGCATGCAAGAAAAAAGGAAGAAACTTCATTCGTTCTCTTTCATCCTTGTCATCAATAAAGCACACATATATAAATACATAAAAAGCAGTGGGAGCATCTGTTTAGGTTGATTATTTATGACCGATGTTACAGAGCACACATTCATATGTGTACGATTATGATTATTATTATTTTTATTATGACGATGATTATGATCTACAAAAACTATTATCATTGCTTACCATTGTCAGTTTCATTCCAAACGATGCCTTCTAAAACAACGCTGGTACCCTAAATAGAAAAGAATATTATCAAGGAAATGCGATTTAACAAAAAAAAAGAAAAAAAAAAAAAAAAAAGAAAAGAAAAGACATACGGGCTCACAGGGACCAAGTTGATCAGGCTCAGTAGCCAAACCAATAGAGACTGTTTCAACACTAGCATCCACTTTAGTTGTTGATGATTGCTTAAGAAAATAAAACAGAGAAAAAAAATAATAATCTTTTTTTTTCTTTTTCTTTTTTTTTCTTCTTATTGTCTTATGTTTGATTTCATCATAAGAAGTGATGAAATAAGAAACTCTTTTCAACTTACATTTAAATCATCTTGTTTAAATCGTTTTTTTGTTGATAAATCATCAATATTTGGATTTAAATCATTATTATTATTATCAATTGTGACAGAACGTTTTGTTGCTTGTTGTTTACTATTAAATGCAGGTGACGATGATCGACGTGTTGTTTGATTTGTAAAAGGACGTTTTAAACGTTGATTATGTGTTGTTGTTGTTGTTGTTGTTGTTAAACGTGAATTATTATTATTATCGTCGTTAGCCATTGATAACGAACTTGAACTAAGATTAGTTTCTTGTTTAGTCGTTTGACGTTTTATTTTAAGAATAAGCGGTGATGATGATAAATTATTATTAACATCATTTGAATTTGATAATTGTTGTTGCTGTTTTTGTTGTATTTTTGACGTTATTGTTGTTGGACGTTGTTCAATTAGAAGATTCATCGCTTAGCAAGCCACCTCATACTGTTGTTACTTTATTTAGTTATGATATTTATGTCTGAATGTATAAGGTATTCCTATAGAAAAGAAAGAACAATAACAAATGCACATATGAAAGAGAGAAAATAACGCACGTATTGACAATTAAGGACGGGTCCGGATTATAAGAAGAAAGTCATATGCCTATTACTATTACTGCTACTGCTGCTGTTGGTTGCTGCTGCTGCTGCTGCTGCTACGATTTATTCCCTTCCCTTCTCTTTCTGTTTTTTTCCTCCTCGACGGGTCAGTCTATTTCACATTTGTGAAGAACAAAGAAAATATTAACATGACGAGAAAAAGAAAAAAAAGAAGAAGAAGAAGAAAAGAAGACCCTTTGTCGTTCTCTACATATAATATTCTCTTTTAGAGTGTGCATTTGCTTTCGGAGAGTGATGATTACCGTATCGTTTTTTTTTTCTTTTCTCGTTTTCTTTTTCGTCTCCAGAGAGAAATGAATGTGCCGATGCAGAAAAGATATTATTCTCTTCCTTTCTTTCTTTCTATCGTTCGTTCGGTCTCGTCCGAAGAACGAGAGACAGAGAGAGAGAGAGAGAGAGAAAAAAGAAAAGTGTAGGTTCTCACTCGCCTTCCTAATGCCTATCTTCTGCGTCTTTATATGTTGTTGCAAGAGTTTTAGGCGGACACACGTTCTTTACTCGTTCGTTTTTCTTTTCTTCTCTTATATTCTTTGCCAACATGCAAGCGGATTCGTGGCTTACAAATGCTATTACTCTTGTTTTTCTTTGCTTTCTCATCAACTCATTTCCATTTTCACTATTATTCTTGTCGACAAGACGTTTCAGATTATGTTGACAAATTTGTAGTTATACTAACTACAAGAAATCTATATCTGTATATATATATATATATATATACCTATAATCAGAGTTGCACTTGAGTCGTTTTTCCTTTTGTTTCTCTCATCTAATATATATTTTTTTTTCTTTTGAAGAGACTCTTGAAATCTATAGAAAGAGAAGCCTTGTTTTTTTCAATTGACGTCTCGATTCTTTTTTTTTTTTTATATTTCAATAGTTATATATGAAGAAAGAAAGAAAGAAAGAAATGAATCTAAAACTATTTCCGATCTTGTCGTTTGTCTCAATCTGTATACAATGTAAATATGTCTATTAATCGTAATGGCGACGGTCTCATATGGCAATAATGATGTTTTTGAATCTTTATATTTTTTCTTCTTTTTCTGTGTACATAAGAAAATAAACGAATTGATATATATTCTATTTATATAACCTTTTCTTTTTTCAAACAATCCGATAAACTTCAAATTTTTGATTGTATACTTATAACTGAAACCATAATTATATTTTATGCACATATTTTGTTTTATCACTAATTCAAATGTGACATAAAAGAAAAGAAAAGAAAAAAAAGAAACAAAACATTGATTATAATCGAAATGAAAACGGAAATTTCATAATGACAGGAAACTGCAATGATGAATAGACATGCATCACCTCATCGATTAAAGAGAATGAATAATACAATTGACTTGACTTGCTTGATAGAATATATAAAAGAAGAAGAAGAAAAAGAAAAAAAAAAAAAAAGAAAAAGAAGAATTCTATCCACTTGAATTAACAATGATGACATCAGAAAATTTCCATGTTAAAAGAAAAGAATGAATTATTATTAATCTTTTCTTGTTCATTATTATTATAAAAATGGCATAGAGATCAAATGACACAACTGCAATCGATACACATTCTTTATTTTGTCATTATATAAATATTTCTTTTTTGTTTTTTTTGTTTTTCTTATTGTTTGTCTGATGATGATACATTAGTAGTAGTGGTAATAGTAGTAAACGAAAGAAAGAGAGAAAAGAATTTACATGAGAGTTATATGTCTCTTTGGGAATATCGAACATTCGACTAGAATATATAAACTGAATGAAAGAATATATACAAAAAAAAAAAAACAATAAGAAGAATAACAAATAAACACAAAAAAAAAAAAAGAGAAAAAGAGAAGGACCCATTTTTTTACTAGACATCAGAGCACCTTGTCATACATGTTATAAAAAGACAAAAAAAAAGACAAATAAATGAGTATCTGAACAAATATATAAATACAAACTAATGCGATGATTTTGATAATGAAGAATAATTTGATGGATTTAAATAAACTTGTGTTGGAATCGAATGATAAGACGACGACGATGATGATGATACTGAAGATAGTTGTTTATTAAACGATGCTAAATTAAAAGAATTAGTCGAATTTTGTAATGAAGAAAAATAGTCTGATGAATTCGATGATGTTGAATATAACATATCATTAGTAAAATGATATGGTATTAATGTATCGTTTGATGATTGTTGAACAATTGAATTTGATTTATTTTGTTCAATATTCATTATTATTTTCGAATTTGATAAATCAATAGGTATTGATGATTGATTTTCAATATTATTTGATAATAATGGACTTGATGATGTTGTACTTGTACCACTTGTTATTGGACTAATACTTCGACTTGAATAATTATCACCTAGTTCTTCATCACCATTAATAGATAAAGTTTTTCTAAGATTTTTTTCTTCATTTATTAAATTTATTTCATCTTCATCATGATTATTATTCGATGATGGTATAATAAATTTTTCGATTATTTTTGTATTATCATCAATTTTCGTTGGTGGTATTTCAGGCATTTTAAATGAATCTATTTTTGTTGTTGAATTTGGTATTACTGTTGCTGTTGTTGAACATCGACGTTTACCATTTCGTAAAATACGTTCAGTTGTTTCATATGTTGATGTTAATTGATGATCACGATTATGATTTTGTTTTATTGTTGAACGAATATCTGATTTATATCTATTCGATACAATTCAAAAAAAATGAAGAAAATCTCATTATAAACATACCGTGGTGGAGCCCAATTTTGTTCTGTTGTATTTAATAATGCACCAACATAAGTTTTACCTTCAAAAAAAAAAAATAAATAAATATATATAATTGATTTTGTATACATTTAAATGATTTACCTCGCCAAGTAATATTAACGACAAGTACACCTAATTAAATAATATTTTAAAATAATATGAAAATACTTTTGTTTTGCTTTTTATTTACCTTTATCAGTTTCATTCCAAACAATACCTTGTAAAACAACATTTGTGCCTGGTTCACACGAACCAAATGAAGATTCATCTGTTGATGATGATTGATCAGTAGTTTTTGAATTTGATTTTTTCTTTTTGTTATTATTTAATTCATCATCATTTTTTATCATACGTTGATTTTTCTTAAAAAAAAAAACAAAGTATTTAAATAAATCAATTGACAGATTTACACAATTATTCTATCTCATTAAGATAAGTATTTGTAGAACGACAAATAACAGACAAACACAGGACAGGACAAGAAAAAGAAATAAAGCAGCTGCAAGAGTGTATATATATATATATTCACGAAGAAAAGTAAATAGGCCCAACATACACACGCACACATCAAGATATCATTATCCCTCGGGGATGCCGCGTATGTGAAAGAGAAATAGAGATTGAATTTCCTTTCTATCTTTTGCGCTTCAATAGTCTTTTTATATATTACCTTTTTCTTCGAGACTGGTTGTTCTTTATTAATATTGTCATTATTCATATCATTAATAACATTTGATTTACGTTTACGTGATGATGTTTTTGTTGTTTTAACTTTAAACTCAACAGTTGTCATTGTTGTTGTTGTTGTCAATAAAGTTGTATCATTTTCATTATTATTATTATTAGTATTAGTATTTGATACTAAAATTTCTTGTTTCATTGTATTATTACAATTAATAGAGTTTTTTTCTTGTCGATAATGATTATTATTTATATCTTCAAATTTTTCCGATGTTGAATTTATTAATAAATCATTATCTTTATTGCGTGGTATTGAAAAGCGAAGACGTTTATTAGAATTTGAATGTAATGGTGGGGAATTGATCATCATTATATAAGATTAAAAAAACACAGATGTCATCTAGAACCAAAAAAAAAACATATCATCATAAAGAAAAGACAAATTCTCAAATAAAATATCAGCAGCTGGACTTTTCATGCTGATTCGCATACATCTATATATATATATATATAGTATACAAATGATTGCCTTTGCTTTCTCGTCTCTCTCTCTCTCTTCTCGTTTCTTTCGCCGCCATTACCGCACAAGAATAGCCACTTCACGCACACACACACTTTTCTGCTCTCCTTTTTTTTTTTTCCTTCAACACAAACATAATTTATAGATCTACTCGCCCTTTGCGCTCTCTTTCTTTCTCTTATACGTATTTAACGCTTGTCGAACACTTGAGTGTATACAATTACAAATTCGCTAGACCTTTATGTCGTTCATCATGTGATAGTATAACATATACGATGAACTCACCTCCTCCTTCTTCTTCTTCTTCTTCTTCTTCTTCTTCTTCTGTTCTCTCCTTCATTCATTTACTGCAATCAATTCTTACACACATACATACATACATATATATATATAACTAATATTAAAAAAAAATCATCAAACGACGCGAATGATTAGAATAACAATTGACATCAAGTGGGAGTATACGATAGGACATAGTGACTAGGAATTCACTTAATATGGAAGAATGAACAAATGAGAAAAAAACGCTGCCCCCCCTCTCTTTCTATTCTTTTTTTTTTTTTCTTCTTCTTTAGTCTCGATTAGTAAATTCTATTGTTAAAAGGCATAGTGTCGCAACTTCGTTATTAGTAGACATCGAACAAATATTGAATTTCAATCTTATCCTTTACTATTACATATAGGATACAACAAGTATTGCTCTTCTCATTCTAAACTTTTTACTTATGAAAGTATATGAAAAAAAAAAAAATAACGAATATCTATATGTCAGTAAATATAGAACAACCCTGTACATACAAATCAAGGTGAAATATATATGATCAATCTTGTCGTTTGAACGACAAATTGCT